TATGACTATTCACAAATAACAGCAGCAGAGATGACCTTTGTAATCACGATTAGAACGATTGCGTTTAATCCAACATTCCCCGGAGGAGACTGGATGACTAGCGTGAATGAAACCTGAGATTGGTCATTCTTGATAGCAGTTCCGATAGCAGTTCGAAAAAAGTTTGATAGCAGTTCCGAAAAACGGTTTGTTTTCATTCATACGCCAGTTCAAGAGCGCCCTAAAATGATCGTCCAAATTAATGGATAAAATCTTTTTGGTTTCGTGAGTACTTTCTAATAACCAAAGGAATTTTTTGTGAATAATCTGACTTTAAGAGTTTATTTATCGGGAATATTTATTATATGACTTAGTTTATTTATTCCCACTTGTATATTATTGCAAATTAAAGTTATTTTTTGTTCCGAATTTATGATGAATATAGAATGTCTCAAAACGCAGTTACATGCTCAGCTCAGTCAATGATTTCTGGTGCTACTCACCCCTTATTCCGCGTAATCTCTGAGTTATTCATAGTTTTACATAATTTGAAACCAAATAGCTTTAAGTAAGTGATTTATGACTCAAAACTAAACTTGCGGTCGACATACGTATACAGTGTTATTACGATAGCCCATAAGTGCGAAGCTGCCGACAAGACTTGAATCTTCAAGAAAAGCAAAGAAACCAGGCGAAGACTCACCATTTCTTTTGAGGGCAAAAATTTCAGAGTCTAGCTCAATCGTCAGTTCAAAATCCTATAAGACAAGCCGAATAAATAAGTAAACTAAAATTCAAATTGAAAATAATAATGCCTATAGTTGACAAATGAAAAACAAATAAACATGAGGTGACAGGTCAATAAATTTACAATTTTGACTTGAATCTTTCTTTGTTCGATCCTAATTCAGGTAATTTCAAGGATCAAAATCTAGACACGGCCCGTCCTAGTTGTTATCAACAGCCTTAGCCATGCATGGGGCAGAATGCTCAAGTGTTTCAGGAGTGATCCATTAAGTGTTTCTGCAGTATCTCTCAAGTGCTCTACGAGACAACCTAAGTGTCCTCAAGTGTCTAGCGGCACACATTCACCGTTATACTCTGCACAACACCGAACACTTCATGTTTATTCTTTTAACTGCGGGATTTCCTTACGAAATGCTGTAATCTAGCGGGATTTTCTTCCATTGAATCATGCATTGACCACTTAAGTGAGAATAATTTATAAATAATCATGTCACACTTAATTTTCTCTAATTATTATCACGTTTTAAAATCGACGTGTAGCCAAGCCACGTGCGAAGAAGAGTCGTGTGGTCTGTTATATGGCACACGAATGTCGGCTTGAGGGCCACTGTATATCAGAATGAGGCCAAAATGGCCCAGAATGCGGCCAAAATGGCACAGGCTTCTCATAAACTCTTACGCGAATCGTGGGACGCGGGTTCGAAGTGAATTCATGTTTCACGGTTGAGATCCGCATGGCTATTTTCAACCTTGTGTAGGGATTTCGCGTGGGGAACGTCCAGCGGGTCGGTACAATTTTGCTGGGAATTTATCATTTAAATGGCGTTATTTTACCTCTCTGCGAAATGAACGGCGAAATTGTAATTACGTTCATTTACTCTGTTGATGACAGCGTAAGAAAGTGATTATGGAAAATAGTTATTATGATTATGGTGAAAAATTAGTAAAAAATTTCCAGACTGCCATTCAATCGCAATAAAATTGGTAATTTGATTATTAAAATTACGCTCAAAAATCGGAAGCTAAATTGGCTAAATTGTTTTTAAAAATTTTATCGTATATTCGTATGAAACTGCCAAATAAAGAAACAAGTTTTCAAAAGGAAATTTTCTTAATGAAAATTGTCTTTCTGCGTATACTTTCCAATGTTCTTCCTTGCTTTTATGACCGTGAACTGTGCTGAAAAGTGTTGTTAGCTATTAGGAAGAAAATTTGTCTTGAAAACTACAGAACCGTTTCAAAATTCGCTAAGTGAACGTAAGTACTTACGCACTATTTTCTTGTCTATGATTGGTGGATTTTGCTCTAGAGGCCGTCAATGATTGGCTGATGAACTTACGATCTCTTAACTTTTTTTGAAAGTATGGCCCCAAAGCACAGACTTGCTGGCTCCCATCTGATGTTGCCAGCTGTCACTTCTGCGCCTGTAAAAGTTGACTGGCAATGATATGACCGGTAACGACTTAGGGGAGCCTTGTTTAATCACTTGGGCCTTTCCCCTGTTCGACTTTAGAGCCATTATACCGCCGACGATTCATCGGCCTCCTATAAAACGCCATTGATTTTCTCGAAGGATGTTAAGCTCGGCGATACTCGTCGGTGGATCTAATTTACAGTCAGAGAACACGGAAAAACTCGGACGTATTCGTCATATAGACGAGAGCGACCCTTATTTCTTGACGCTTTTGACTTTCATTATAATCAATCGACATCAAAAACTTTGCGTTACAAGGTTTTCACATAAAGTTATCTTATCAAGCAGCTCTTTCGTTGGCCGTTTGATGACCCCAGCATTGTTGATGGCCGCTTGATGGCTACAGCCGTGTTGATGGCCACAGCTCTGTTGATGGCCGCTTGATGGCCACAGCTCCTTGATGACCGCTTGATGGCCATAGCTCTGTTGATGGCCGCATGATGCAGCATATATTATACATCTCTTTATGTTGCAACGAGCAGAACGTTCTGTCATTACAGGCATCCCTTCATAACGCAGTAACATAAAATTCTTTCGCAACATCATGCGGCATGCGCGGTGCACATGGCTAGTAAGGACTATTTTCACGAAGCTATGTCGGATTCTAGTTGGCTGAGTTGCAGTTAGGCCAAGTTGTAGTTGGGCTGAGTTGTAGTTGGGCCAAGTTGTAGTTGGGCTGAGCATTAGAATTCCGGATTGGAGTTAGCCTCTGTTGCAGTTGGGCTGGGTTATAGTTGGGCTGAGTTATAGTTGGGCTGAGTTGCAGTTGGGCTGAGTTGCAAATGGGCCAAGTTTTGTGGTTGAGGATTAGAATTCCGGATTGGAGTTGGGCTGAGATGCAGTTGGGCCAAGTTGTAAGGCTGAGTAAATTAAGGATTTAAGTTGGGTTGAGTTTTAGGTCGAATGTTCAACAGCGCACTAAAGTTGAAGTGCAGTGGGAACAATTTTGGCCTTCAAATGACGCTTGCTATTGAAGTTCGCTGCGGTAACGATAATTGTCTACGAATTACGGAATTATTAACAAACAAAAAGGAGAATATGAAGTACAAATATTACTAGATTCTTGAAATTTGCCCAAAGCGCGATAAATTGCTTATTCGTTCATAAAAATTAAATGGCATCGCATATTGTGCCATAATATCCAAAAGTTTTCTCTGAGCTTTTACATTGATATTTAATGCGATATTGCACATAAAATAAATTTTATAATAAAAAAAAAAGAAATTTCAGAGTAATTTTTATCGTGTATGATAAGTGGACTGTAATCCTCTGGTGTAGCTCCGACACCGCGCCGGCGTTGGGCTAAATTTACGCCTCGACCGCGGCAGGTTCAAGGCAGGAGTGCCGGCGCTGCGGCCTCCGACGCAACTTTATTGCATGCGATATATCGGGGGGAGGGAGGGGTCGAGTGGGGATATATTTGGTTGGTTGGGGGACCTGGTGTGATGGGAAATATACTTGGTGTGTTGGGGGGACCTGGCGTGATGGGGGGACCTGGTGTGATGGGGAAATATATTTGGTGTGTTGGGGGGACCTGGTGTGATGGGGATTTAATTGGTGTGTTGGGCGGAGCTGGTGTAATGGGAAATATTGATATGATATGATATGATATGATATGATATGATATGATATGATATGATATGATATGATATGATATGATATGCTAAGCCAGTCGAAATCTATCGTAATTTTGGGTTTATCATTATATACCTAACATATATAATTGACTTCCATGTCTAAGTTTGTCGTACGCCTATCGTGTGAGACATTGGATGACTGATAATGATTTTTTCTATGCAAGCTCCAAGTGTCGTTTGACTCAAACTTGATTGAGTAGAAATTCTTTTATTTAAATTAGTGTTGGCTTATTCAAACTAGAAAAATTTACACTTGAATTTTAAGTTATAAGTTGTTTATTGATAACTTTTCGCTTCTGGTGGTTGCCGACGTCGGCTAAAGGTCCGCAGCGAGCTAAAAAAAATTTTCTTGAAATTCGAACGTCGAATTTCAGTCTTAGATTTGCACGCAAATGGTGGCAGGTTTTAGTCGAGCTCGGCGGCTCATTGGTGAAGCAAGGATCCGCATAAATTGTCCGCTTAAATCTTTAAATTAAAAGGTTCAATTAAATCGGTCACTTGAGGGACTAATGCATGCGTGCTATTTTTGAAGCCTTTTCGTCACCGAGGCATTGAGTATTAAGGTCGCGTAATTTTGAGGTACTGAATTAAATGAGAAATGCCGAATTAAATACTTTTCTAAGATTTTTAAATTAATTAATTTACATGTTTGATTATTAATTATTTCATCATGGTAGGCATAGATAACTGGAATCAATAAATAGAAATTTAATTAGCCAGCACATCCGATATGGAAAAGAATCCAGAAAGAAATAATCTGGCGTGGCTTAACTTAATGAAATTCATAGTTATTACAAATTCAAGCTTCTCTCAGCTAACAGGTACCATCTATATAAATACTCGCTAATTAAGAATTTCCATAATATATATATAATACCAACTCCAATGAATTAACCATTGGTCTGTCCTTCTGAAATTATCACTCTTACAATTGAGAGGAATTACTGAGACTACATCGAGAGAGAAGAATTAGTGTGATGCAGAATCGAGAAAGCAATTAACTTCAGTATTTATTTCATGTGTTTTTTATTTGCCATCATTACTATTCACTGGTCTGAACATGTATTTCTATCTGTTAATGTTGTATCTATCTATCTATATCTATAAATATCTATTCTGTCAGAATTACTAGGAGATAAAACAAAGCACAGGATGTTGCTCACCCAAGCATCGCCACTCCTGCCACTCCTACGGTCACAAGCAGAATCCTTTGGTTGAAGATCACGTCACTCCGAATGTGCGCCACATCTTCTGTCAGTGTCTCCAAATCTTCCGAGACTTTACCCGCTACAGAATTCATCTCCAGCGGTTTTTCTCGAAGGATCTCAGTGTGGCTTTCGATCGCAGAAGAACCTGGATGGACAGATTCCATTGGAGGTTGGTAGCGTTCAACATCTGCGTGGTTGTCGAAGAAGGAACTTTCGGTGACAGCGGGCACGGCTGGATGACGTCGGTGTGGAGGTTGCATTGCTGTCACCATGGGGTTAGAGTTTATAGCCTCTTGCTTGGGAAGGGAGTTGGTTTCAGGATAATCATCTTCTGAGCTTGGTGGTGCAAAATACTCGGATTCGTCCACTGGTCCACCAATGTCCTCCTCTCCTCCTATGCGATTCCGTTTCCTATTGCGTCGGTGCTTGCGTTCTCGTCTTCTGTTGCGGCGTTCTTCGTCGTCCATGTCTCTTTTGCTGTGTGGTCCGTCTTCGACCACCGCGATGTTGATGTTATCGGACTCACCATCATGGGCTTCGACAGGCGGAGTATACAATCCAACACCTGCAGATACCACAGCTTCACCCACCTCTCTCTCGCGCTCGAAAAGTGCCAAAACTTCAGACGCCTGGTCGATAAAGTTTGTGAGAACATTCATCAACTTGCCACATCCGAAATGTTTGCCACTTTCTTTATTGCAAAGACAGTTGTTGTCACCACACCACCCAAGATTCAAGGTGGGACTCCAACCCGCCCTCGTGAGACGTGCCACGTGTCTCTCGTTGAGATCAATCAGGCGATAAATATCGTCGTCTTCGAGACATTTGAGCATCGTGTCCGAGTCGTGGGGGCAGAGGCAAAAGTCACGGCACCATCGCATGCCTGTCACGGCAGGTTGGGGTCGTGCATCGTGCAGGAACAACATCAAAAACAAGCACAATAACCACGGCTCTCGCATCTTTTTTTTTTGTTCTCGGTGAGCTTCACAAAAAATTGTTCGACGATCCTATCTTCTATTATGACTGTGAACTACAGTTTAAGTTTTTCAATCGAAGGACTTAGGTCTACGCACTGTAATAATAGGGTAATTATTTGAGAGCATCCGCCTCCTCATCCTTATTTAAAAATTAACATCGAAGAACAAATTCTAATAAGAACTATACTGCTTTTAATTTCATCATATTTTTAACTATTTTCTCTTCAAGCTATCTTAGGATTCGGTTTTCGCCAATTCCTGGATGTTATTAGTGATATTTTATCCCAGAAAATGCATGGAGTCAACATTGAAATTGCGATTAAATTTTCTGAATGAACGAAAAGTTTATAAAATTGCGCAAATAAATGTCGATAGAAAAAAATGATCGGTTTATGAAATTTTATAAATGTTATTTGTTATAAATTGTTAATAGCAAATAGATGACCGCATATTTATTGAATGAATATTTATGTTGAACTCAAGATCAAAAGTGATCCCAATTTATCTCTTATCACATTATTTCGTGAGGCTACTTAATTTCAGTTTTGTATAACATCTACTGAGCATGAAGCTGTATCTAGAATTATATTGTAAATGGTAAAAATGTTTTCAGATTTTATAATCCAACAGAGTATTTACATTAATTTTGTGTAGTTCATTAAAAATACGCTCTTAGCTCAATCATTGCCCAGGATCACAGAGTTCACTCTTAATTTAAATGAAAATAATTGCTCTATTGCCGAATATCGCATCACACTCCCTAACAAAATTTAGAGTCGCCCCAGTTTCTGGTAACCTAAATCAGAAGCTGCCGCGTCTGTAAATTTTCACTGGGCTGGGGCACAGACTGCACGACGCGAGCAATACAACACCGACACAACCTCACCCCAGGGCCGCCGGACACTAACTAAGCAGGCAACCGCAGTGAACGTTTCACTTTTCGGGCGGGGCCTCCGTGAGGGCACACGAGTCCTACACATCAGTCGTATCTACAGCGGATGCTTTGTCATCATCGTATCTTCTGGCCTGTAAGTGCCTGGTTAATTTTAGAAGTAAATGACGTTTTGCTGATAATGTCGCAATTGTGAGTAGATTTTCACAGAAGTTGTCCCCTAGGAGAAGGAATATGAGCGCGAGAGGATGATGCTCCATTTGAAATACTATAGCTATCTGAAGATCATTTCTTCATTGCAACTCAAACATGAATTATTAAAGCTTTGATGTTTTCACCTTTCGGAATAAATAAAAACATTTACCATAAAATACCAGATAGAGAGTGACGAGCGCAAACGCTGCATCGCCGCAGCTTCTGATAACAGCCAATAGAAGATAACAACAGATTATTCTGCGTCACTGGACCCCAATGACGCAGCCAAATTTCCCGGTACAAGATTGTGCATTCTACTCACCTAGTTAATACATAATACATGCTTCATAATTTATTTATCGAGTATATTCGAACTCATTCCGCTAATTTACTAGATAAATTATATAGAGCATATATACCTCCTGGGGAATCAAGGATTTTTTTGCAAGTGTATAGTAGAGATCATCATATCTCTGTTTATATATTCAGTATTCTATGCGGAGCCTTCTCTCTAGTAATCGGAAGTCGTCACGTTGTGATCTTCTTTGATCTCTTGATCTTGACATAGGCATAGAATTTTGAGTATCTTGACATTTTAATTTTGATTTTCCTTGACATACGTTGCAGACTTCAATCAAGATACTAGCTACGTTGCAGACTTCACTAAGATACTAACCAACGAAACACAACCTACAGACTGCAAGAACTTCTGCCACGCCGCAATCGCTAAGCCGGCAACCGCGATGATGAACGAGCGCCGGGGATCATTTGTCGCGACGGTCTTGCTTCGCGCGACGTGCCCATCGGGGCAGCGAGTCAGACGCGATCTGCCTCGTGGTCTGGGGAGGCAGAGGTGGGCATGGTGAGGCAGGGGTGGTCTGGGGAGGCAGGGGTGGTCTGGGGAGGCAGGGGTGGTCTGGGGAGGCAGGGGTGGTCTGGGGAGGCAGGGGTGGTCTGGGGAGGCAGGGGTGGTCTGGAGAGGCAGGGTGTTGCCTGTAGTAGCGTGTTGGGGAGGCAGGGTGTTGCCTGTAGCGTGTTGGGGAGGCAGGGTGTTGCCTGTAGCGTGTTGGGGAGGCAGGGGTGGTCTGGGGAGGCAGGGGTGGTCTGGAGAGGCAGGGGTGATCTGGAGAGGCAGGGTGTTGCCTGTAGCGTGTTGGGGAGGCAGGAATAGCATGCTGGGGAGGCAGGAATAGTATGCTGGGGAGGCAGGAATAGCATGCTGGGGAGGCAGGAATAGCATGCTGGGAGGCAGGAATAGCATGCTGGGAGGCAGGAATAGCATGCTGGGAGGCAGGAATAGCATGCTGGGGAGGCAGGAATAGCATGCTGGGGAGGCAGGAATAGCATGCTGGGGAGGCAGGAATAGCATCTGTCTCTTATACACATCTAGATGTGTATAAGAGACAGAGGCAGCAGGGAGGTTAATACGATAATGGGAAGGTGATTAAGGCAGCAGGGAGGTTAATACGATAATGGGAAGGTGATTAAGGCAGCAGGGAGGTTAATACGATAATGGAAAGGTGATTAAGGCAGCGGGGAGGTTAATACGATAATGGAAAGGTGATTAAGGCAGCGGGGAGATTAATACAATGGTGGGAGGGTGATTAAAGCATCAGGTAGCTAGATTAATACGATAGTGGGAGGGTGATTAAGGTAGCGAGGAGGTTAATACGATAGTGGGAGGGTGATTAAGGCAGTGGTATGGGTAATAAGATAATGGAAGGGTGATTAAGGCAGTGGTATGGGTAATAAGATAGTGAGAGGGCGATTAAGACAGCGGGGAGGTTAAAACGATAATGGTAAAGTGATTGAGGCAATGGGAAGGTTAATTGATAAATTAGTGGAAAGGTGATTAAGACAGCTTGGAGGGCAATACGATAAGGGGAAAGTGATTGAGGCAAGAGGAAGGTTAATAAAATAGTGGGAAGGTGATTTAAGGTATCAGGGAGGTTAATACGATAGTGGGAATGTAATTAAAGCAGCAGGGAGGTTAATAAAATAATGGGAAGGTGATTTAAGGCAGCAGGGAGGGAAATAAAGCTGCGGGGCGCAGGCTGAGATGTGGTCCAGGATGTGGTGAAGGGCTCCGTGGGACTCCACGTAAGCACTTCACGCACACTTCATCATCTGCTCTTCATTCGACCATCATCTGCACTTTACACTTCCCCTTGCATCAGGCTCTATTCACGCTCTGCTTCAAAACAAAACTTTCAAATAATGAAGGTTTTACGGGTAATGTCCAAGCTTAATTACAGTAAGAGCCGCATGAAAATGTACGATGTACTTCGCGATGAATATGTTTTTTACCGCTTGAAAATGTAACTGACTTCATGAGTCAGGCTCTGCTTTGGAACAAAAATTTCAAATAATGAAGGTTTTACGGGCAATGTCCGAGCTTACAGTAAAGGCCGGTGAAAATGTACGATCGATGTACTTGACGATGAAAATGTACTTTACCGCTTGAAAATGTAAGTGACTTCATGAAAGGAACTTCATGACACCGCATGAGAGAGGCATATGGAAGTTTGCCTGGTTCTTTCTAGAGGTGTTTGATCTCATGAAGTGTCTGATCTCATGGTATCTCATGGTATCTCATGGTATCTCATGGTATCTCATGGTATCTTATGGTATAAAGCCAAACTTCATATAATTTTTACGCAGCACGCAGAATCTGGCCTTACTCCAAATGAGATGTGGGAGATTATTTTAGCTCCCTCGAAAAATTTAGGTTAACTGATACAATTTTTGCTATCGCATAAACTAGTAAAATGCCACATAAAATTGTATTCCTTCAAAGAAAATTGTAAACCAGTATATGAAATGGCGACCCTCGATCCTCGTTAAATTGTTCCTCATTATACATACATTTTTGACCCATCAATATTGATTGAATGACCAATATTGCAACTCATAACATAAAGTTGTACTGTAACTTAGTGCCTCTCGATCCCCATGAATGTCTGCTTGCCCTCAAAAGTGCACCTCACCTTAGGAGAGTATGCCTCACATTAAGAATGTGAGCCTCACTACAAGAAAATGCGGTAAACCTTAAGAATGCGAGCCTCACAAACAGAATATGTTATCTTATCTCAATAATATGCGCCTATCCCAAGAAAGTATGCCTCACCTCAAGAATACGAGCCTCACCTTAATAATGTGATCCCCACAACCATAATACATATCTTCCTTAAAAGTGTGAGCCGCACCACAAGAATGTGCGCCTCACCTTAAGAAAGTGTGCCTCACTTAAGAAATGTGCCTCACCCTGAGAATGTATGCCTCACAACGGTAATACGTATTTTATCTCAAGAATGTGCACCTTGATAATGTTTATCTCACTACAAATGACTGTGCCTTACATTGAGAAAATGTGCAGCAAAAATTTAAGAACGAAAACACACGGCTGACCATTTATGACCTACGTGTGCTGTTAATTATAAATAATAAAAGTAGTATCAGGCTTTAAGATTAAATGGCCTAGAGGCCTGTCGCAGAATTTTCACGCTAGCTGTGGGTCTCGAATATCCAACTCATTAATCAAATATTTTCCATCTAAACCACTCTGAGGAAAGGAAGACAGATTTAGATTAAATAATTAATTATTTAATAATGATTTTATTGTTTATTACATTTTAATTTAATTTAATTTGCCGCGCGCTATAATTTTATATTAAAGATTTTACATTATCCATTGGCCGTTTATTCGCCTGCTAGCCGGTCAAGGATGAATAGTGAGCTGCTGCATCAACCGGTCAAGGATGAATAGTGAGCTGCTGCATCAACCGGTCAAGGAGGAATAGTGAGCCGCTGCATCAACCGGTCAAGGAGGAATAGTGAGCCGCTGCATCAACCGGTCAAGGAGGAATAGTGAGCCGCTGCATCAACCGGTCAAGGAGGAATATGGCTGCATCAACCGGTCAAGGAGGAATAGTGAGTAGCTGCATCAACCGGTCAAGGAGGAATAGTGAGCCGCTGCACCATGCACCACAGAAGGTATATTAAACGGCCACAGTATATGCAGCTTACGAGGAATATGAGGTGTTCGGAGGTATAAAAAAGACTTATAAAATGTGAAAAACATGTTTTTTTCCGGGAAAACTTTTATTATATGGCAGCTTAGTTTCCTCGTTATTCATATTTATTCTAGTATTTTTTGTTAGTAACTAAGAAATATTTTCAAGCTAACTTTCTCGGTAAAAATAGGGTACAAATATTCTAAATTCAACTCGGTGAATTCGGGAAGCGATAGAAAATTAATAGGAAAGTGTGTCACTATTTTGACAATACCTACAACTTATTATTTTATGAATTTAGTATTTTTGTTCTCACTGTAAGATACTACAAAAATTATATATGGAAGGTTTTATATTAGACGCCCAATGTTAGTTGAGTTTTCTTAAATATATAACTTCCATCGCACTAAACGCATCTACTGTTTTTATGTTGCCAAAACAGACATAGTAATATCTGGCTCACGAAAAAACTAATTTTAATAAACATTTTCTTTTTTTAAATAAAACTTCGAGGTAAATGTTCTTTAGTTTCGTTATTTATTGCACACGACTGTTTGAAGCTGCCTCAAATTCCAATTCAAATACATAACCTGGCGCAAAGAGAATCAACTTGGTATGTCCACTTGAACTTTTGGTATCATTCGTACTAAATTAATAACTATTAATAATAATTTAAATAATAATAATAATAATTTTTTACGAACTTTTCGATAATTAAGCATTCGAGTTGTTCTCTGATTTGCAGTGTCCTATATAGTCATGCACCTTTAGTAATATAACTCCATCGCCAACATCCATTGAGAAAAACGCTATTATATGTTCATTTTTTCTCTTTACAATTTGTGATAAAAGCAGCGTTACAAGTGGTTATCATTTTACATATAGTTGCATCGTAGCAATTAACTATTATTTTGTCGGTACATAGTTTTAATTAGTTATTATATATCGTTACATAGTTATTGTTTTTTTGTTACCTCATGGCATAAACTATTACAATTTATTGTTTATCGCTACATGAGTTTTAAATAGTTAATAGTTTAATAGCAGAACACCGCAATAAAGTTGAAAATGTAAACCGTTTTAAGTGGAAACTATCATCGGTAAAATGGAAATTGGAGAAAAATTACCCGTCTACTTTATGTATAAACATTGCTTTGGTTGAAATCAGTGACAAATTCTGCTTATTTGTTCAAATGTGGCAGGAAAAATTGCAACACAAACCTGGTATTTAATGTCCAAGTAATCTAAGTTCAAATGTTTTGTCAACATTTTTATGTTAAGTGAAATGATTTAAGAATTTTTTGTTGCATCTGTAAGACTCGACAGTAATCGGAATACATCTTATACTTTTCTTGGCGCTGTCAGATTCATGAGTGAGTCAATTTCCTCAAAATGGAAATTTTGAATAATTACTAATTAATTTTTTTCAGTTTTATAAATTTGCTAATAAAATTCAAGTCAAAATTTTTACGTGTATTTGTATTGCTCGCGTTTCTCCCAAAATTAGATTAGTCTAATCAACAAGAACATCAATGCTTTCAAGTGATTAGAAATTTCTTCGATTATTAAAATTTATTCCCATCTCGCTATCCATCAATTGTCTAGTACCATATGATTTATTATGAACTTCATAAAGAACCTCCCTCATGCAACGCCTCTCCTGATCTGATGCCCGAGGAATGAACTGTAGGAATGTAGCAACGAGTAACTGTTGAAGCTATGACGTCACACGTCAGAGACAGTGTGAGAGGAGAAGTAGCATGCGCTCAATGGGCATGAGAGAGCTAGAGACATGCAGTGTGAGAGAGCTATAGACAGTGTGAGAGAGCTAGAGACAGTGTGAGAGAGCTATAGACAGTGTGAGAGAGCTAGAGACAGTGTGAGAGGAGGGGTAGCATGCACTCAATGGGCATGAGAGAGCTAGAGACAGTGTGAGAGAGCTATAGACAGTGTGAGAGAGCTAGAGACAGTGTGAGAGGAGAGATAGCATGCGTTCAATGAATATGGAGGAGTTAAAAACAGTGTGAGATGTTAAAGACGAGGTTACATTCATTTGCAAAGATAGGAGAATAAGAGATAGTGAGTAATAAAAATTTTCATTCGCGCAGCTAAGATTGAAAAGACGAAGTGATAGGAACACAGCTACATTCTGGGTAGATTTTTTCATACATTCTAAATTTCCCATTTACATTCAAGGTATATTTTTTCCTACATTCTACATTTCACATCTACATTCAGGGTAGATGGGTGGGTGTATGAAAGGAAAGGTGCCGAATACAGTTTGAAGGAGAGTCGTGGTTCAATGGGTTATATATAGTGTATGAAAGGGAAGGTGGTGAATACAGTTTGAAGGAGAGTCGTGGTTCAATGGGTTATATATAGTGAATGAAAGGGAAGGTGCTGAATACAGTTTGAAGGAGAGTCGTGGTTCATCTTATAATTGGTCTTGTGCTCGATATGAAGGAAG